CCTGAACCTCCACGAACATTTCAAGACTAAGATAAGATAAATCCGTTCAGCTGTTCTCGAGTTTTAGCGAGACTAAGGAACAGCAATCCATTTTTATATATATAGAAGATTATTTATATTAACATATCTGTATGTAAAACTCGTTACCTAAATTAAATCCATATATAAAAAAATATTCATATATACATATGTACATGTACATATATACATATGTACATGTACATATGTACATATAGTATATGTACATGGAGAAATATAAATCACTCTACATTTGTTATTGGATTTCCAAGTAGGTACTAGATGGAAAGCTTCATAAGTATCTTTCATCAAAAAATAACTTTAATAACCGTATATATATATTAACTAAAGGTTTTTCCAAAAAATGGTTCATATCAGGCAGGCGGTCGATGGTAAAAACAATTAGTCAAAACTATTCACAACATGTAAGGCAGACCCTGGCTAAATCTGGGAAATTGCCAGGAAGAAGAAGATTAACTAAGGATAAACTTCAAACACAGTATCACAGTAAAATATAAAATAAACGTAATGTAGTTAAAATAATAATACGCGTAGTAAAAATAATATTAGTTTCATTTAAATGAATACTCGCAAGTCTAAATCCCATTAAAATACTAGATTTTTTCAATATATATATTCGAACAAAGCCGCGGGTAAAGTCTTGTATGAAATAAGAATAATTTAAAACGTTTATTTAAATATAAAAATTCTTTTGGAGTGTGAGTAATGAAAGTAATTAACGCCAGTTAACACGGTATATAAGAACTTACTTAAGGATAGCTGTCAACTTGTCCGAAATTACACGGAATTAAGAGAAAAATGATAAAATAATACCAATTAGGGGAGAGTCGGATATATCGTACCACTTTTCACTTTAACTCAAATATTTCGACTATAACACGTCTTATAATAATTAATACATATGTAAAATAAAGTTTCATATTTTAGATTCCTAAGAAGAAGAGAACAGATCCTTGCGATTATTCTAACATTGTTAAAAATGCTTTTTTATAGAGGCTTGCCATCGGTACGATTTAGCCGACTAGTCGTTTTAATCGTACCACTAAGTCTTTAAATCGTACCATGGGTGTTTAAGTCGTACCTACCACTGAATGAAAGACATTAAAATTCTCAATCAAATTATTAATTTTTAACTGTTAGGTAAGTAATAAAACAACATTATTAATATCTTTTAGGTAATAGAAACTTAATTTTTAACTCTTAGGTTATATAAAGGAACTAGGTATAAGCTTTCTCAGTAAAATAACATGATTATACTCTGATAATGAGATCAATCAACATAACTAATAAAAATGAGACAAAAAAAAACAGTAAACTATAATAATAAAGTAATAGTTAACAAGAATGTTATTTGTAATATAATTATTGTGCATATTTCTTAATGGAAACAACCATGACAAATGTCTGGATTCGAAGTACATGTCTCATGTAGCCACCGTTTACAGCGAACGCATTGAATCCAATCAACTTTTGGACCCTTCTTATCGTAGTAAGAACAATTGCACTTTCGACATATATTTTCAAGATAATCATCGCTGTCATCATCATCATCTAGTTCTACAACAAGTGTCTCTCCTGAATCATCGCTACTGGTGATGGAATGAGATCGTTTCCTCTTATAACTTTTGTTTTTGGCCTTGGGTAGTACTTACTATACGTACTTGTGGTAGTACTATGGGTACTTGCGGTGGGTAGTCGGGTCAATCGTACCAGTACAATTTAACCAACTGCAAGTGGTACGATTAAACCAACTAAGGCATTTCTAAAACAAAAGCAAATATCCGGCATAAACTCAAAACTTAGACACGCAACAAAAACCCCCAATAATCTAGTATACAATTGTGGAATAATAAAAAAAAACTGAATAACTATAACTTACCTTGATTACGAGTTATCTCCTTACGAATGTACGACAATATTTATATTAATTCCTACAAAAAATGTTTTTCTTTTATTACTTGCACAGTTGTTAACTCACGTCGATTTAAACTAGTGGGTGAAGAGGGATGGTACAGGGCCACGATTTGTTGTTGTCAGTGTAGAAAAAAATATTCATTAAATGGGAAATTTAGAAGTGGTACGATTTAAATGCTAGTACGATATAACCAACTCTCCCCTACATGGAATTTTTTAAACTATTTGAACACTAAAGTGGTTTTAATTACTTTTTTTGTATAATCGTTTATAATTCGTAATATAGGAATTGTCCTTTAATCTTTTTTAAATGTATTAAATTTAAAAATCTTAATAATTTTAAATATGAAGTCTATATATAAAACTTATTGAAATAACTTTTGTTATAATAAAAAATAATTGTGATGCGAAAGTTTATGCGAGTACACAAACATAACTCCAACTCAACTTCACACTTCAGTCGTTGTATTTCAACTTCAAAACTTTTTTCATTACACTTCACACTGCACCATTATATGTATAATTTATACCGACTGCGTCATATAAGCGGAGTTATGTTTTACCCGGATCGAAGTGTGTAATCGTGTTTGAAGATTAAATTTGATCTCAATGATACTTATAACTTCCATCTCTTCACTTAATTTGGTGTTTAATTCTATAATTAATTATTTATATAATACTTATTCATTATAAACAGAGTCTTATTAAGTATTTGAAAAAAAATTCGTCACTTGACAAAAATATTGAAACTGAAAGACGGATGAAATGCTTATACAGGGTGACTGGTGAATTACTATCAATATTTAAGGAGCATACTCGGTACATGATTCTCATTCGAATTATGTAAAAAAAATAGGTACTTAATTTTTGACAAAATTTCCGTATAAGTAAATAAAGTGTGGACACGTTCCAAGTGTTCCAAGTGTGGACGCGTGCGGCGGCGTGCTGATACAACAAAACGCCGCCGCACGCGTATGTGTGTGTGTGTATACCTAATCTGTAGGGTGTTCATACGATGCGTAATTAATTACATAACTTTTGGTTAACTTTACTTAGAAGTTTATTAATATTTATGTTATATTAATTTTTATTTTGTCATATACGATCGTCAAATATCACTACCTCAAGTATCGATAGTAATTCACCAGTCACCCTGTATAAAACAAGAGAAATTCTGATATACAACAAAATACTGTCTGTGACGTTTTCACGTCTGAAAAGCTGAATCTATTTTAAGGAAATTTCTTATTAAGATAGATAGAACCTCGGAAATGGTTACGGATATTTTATTCATATAACTGACTTTTATACGCAGAGACGAACAAACGCGAGTACACATTCAATATAATTTTAGTCAGATAAAATCTTTTCCTGTTTGTTAGATATCTTGAATGATTTGTATGAAAAATTATACAGGGTGACTGGTGAATTACTATCAATATTTAAGGAGAATACTCGGTACATGATTCTCATTCGAATTATGTAAAAAAATAGGTACTTAATTTTTGACCAAATTTCCGTATAAATAAATAAAGTGTAGACACGTTTATATAAAAATAATTATAACGTCATTCAACATAAATCCGCAGCATTTGATTGTGACATTCACATAATTATAACTGTTGCAAACACCGCGTTACGGATAAAAAGATGGCGTTATAAATATTACACAACAAATATATATACTAAGATGACGGCATGGGGGGAAATTAAATATAATAACAATTCAGACATGTAAAGATAGAAAATGTCGACTTTAATACTTAGTTTCGTTTATTTGAGTCAGTTAAGTATTACTTCGAGTCAAGGACATTACTGGTATTAGATTATACAAGGATATATATTAAAATATTTTATCTTAAATAATTGTTTTCGTATTTTTTATGACAGCACAATAGTTGATCTAACTTATTATAAAGCTATTTATATGTTAATACAATTTAAACACCTAGGTGCTATGATACAATCATATATATTAATGATAGGTAGGAAGTCGTATTTAAATATATATATATATATATATATATAATATATATATATATATTATATATAAACCTCTTTGTTCAAACCTCATTTCAGAAATATAAAAAAAAACGAGTTATTAATAAAATATATACAAATATCATAATATTATGTCAATCATAAAAATAATTAGGAATAATAATGTTTTGTCATATACATTTGACCTGGTTATTCATAATTTAAAAGTAATTTGTAAAGGTTAATGTCATTATAACTCTTTTTCTGTCACTGCGAATCGACCTTTTGACATCTGTCATCTACTGTCAATTAAATGAAATTTAACATTTAATATAAACGGATTTGATTAATGATAGAAATGTCTTTGGTCAAATGTCATTCATATCCTAGAAAATGTATAATTTTTTTTACATGTCTATTCATTTATATTTTATAACCTGACACTTAATATATTATCGATTTTCTTAGGAATGATTTTTTATTCAATATCATTATGACTATTAGGAATTAATTTGATTCATTTAAAATTTTACTTTCTCTAAATAACATGTTTTTTGTTTGTCATATATTTTTATTTCAAAGTAAAACCTGTGATAGAAGAAAAATATATTTTTTGGATAAGTACAGTTATTATATAAAGCTAAAAATCCATTTACGTAACGTAATATTTTTATAAAATTTTAAAAATTAAGTCTTCATCAATATATATGAACATAAAGTTTCAATTAATTATTTATAATATTAAATATATCACTAGAATATTAATACAAAAAATCAAACAGAATTTCAAATTAATTCAATTTAATGAATAAAAAAAGTTTCACTTTTAATTTAACCAAAAACTATAGATTTGATTCATATATTCTTTAATTTTTTAATTTAAAGCGTCTCCATGGTAACTTGTAATTCTTTTCTGACAACACATGATAATTTAATAATTCTATAAATAAACTTTATAATGATTATAAGTTTTAATCGTTATTTAAGTAATAAATATAATAACAAAACATTATTTAACACTGCAGTGTCTGATCATGCGCAGTGCGGTCTTCCGATCAAAACATTACCTTATTCAGTGGCTCCGTCTGCATGTAGTAGAATAAAACAAACATCCAGGCTGCTGCCATGAGGAACACGATCTTTATATTCCTCCTCATCGTCACAACACTTATTTTGTATACTTTAAATTTTAAAACAATCGCGATCTAAGCAGCGCGCGGCCGCGTCGGCAGCGGCCTGCGGGCGGACTGAACTCGAGGTTACGATTTGAAAAAAGAACGTTGTCGCGCATGCGCGTATCGTACACTGACTGAAATAGTACCAACTGCATCGTTGATAAGATTTGATACAAAGAAGTGGGATGAATTTGTTTTTTTTTTAATTGTTTTGATCGGATGACGATTTATTGAGCTAGTTGGAAAGTAGTATGTATATTAGGTTAGTAAGTACGTAGTAAATACGGGTTTGAAATAATAGCTTTTCTTTAATTATGTTACGCATACGAAATAAGGTTAGATAACTGTCACATCCATGCCGGAAAGATTCTAAATAAAATGGTCCATAGTGCATATTTGATATAAATAATAATAGCAGCCAAACACATACTGTTGTTAAATATACAAATATTTTTTTAAAATTAAGATTTAATAGTTTTATATGTTTTATTTTTGTCAAAAAACGTTGAAATTGTTCAAAAACGTTGAAATTGTTCTTTACAAGAACTCGTACTAAGCATACTATCAAGATTACCATTATAACAATAGTTATTATTGTTTTTTGAATTATAATTTAAAGTAAAAATTTTATTACGCGCATTATTCGCCTTTAAATATTTTTTAGATATTTGTAATTTCTTCAATAATCTATAATTTCGAATTGTTTTAGCGAAAACTATGTTTGTAATCAATAGTACATTGTGCATGAGTTCACATCTTATCATTTGACACGCTGACTCATAACGCACGCGACGAGATATTATGTATCACAAAAATAATATTTTGTATGATAACAAATAATTCTCAATAAAAATAACTTATATACAAATCTATGATTGTAGTGCCAGGTGGTTTTATACGATTTAATTAATATTATTTCATTAAATTATTTGCTTACATTCTTGGGTACTTGCATTTAATTCCTCAAAGTCCGAAATTATCATACATAAAAAGCTTTAGTAATATTCATGGATGTGTAAGATAAAAGTAAAATTATGTAAGTACATATATCAGTAGCCTCACCACAAGTTTGTATGGTGAAACTAAGTACAGAAAGTTTTTAATTTGTAATTCGTAAATTCATAGTATTCCAATGTATGCGTATGAATAAAAATTGAAAACTTTTTGACATTGACATTGACGACTGAGGTAATGACATTGAAGTGTAGAATATATGTCAAATATAAGAGTGCTATGGTCTGTCACCATAGAGAAAAGCATTTGGTTAATCGGAAGACATAATATTATATATATTTCTATTTTTTTACAGGTGGTAGAGCCTAGCTGTGGTCAAGTTACTACAGCTCGAACATGGGCTGGCTCGACCGGGAAGTACCACCCACAGAAGATGAAGATGAAGTAGCTTTTAATGGCTGCGTTTCGTCCGATGAGTGAGAGAGCCGGTTGCCCTTTCCCTATTCCCATCCTTTCCTACCATTTCCTATTCCCACCCTTCCCTATTCCTAAAAAACAAGATTGGCAATGCATCCGCAACAAAGATGTTGCGGATGTCCATGGGCGACGGTAACCACCTTCCATCAAGTAGTCCGTCTGCTCGTTTGCCAGGTGGCATGCCATTTCACATAAAAATAAAATATAATAATAAAATATTGAAGTATTGATAATAATGTTTTTTTTATTCATTATAATTATTTTTATCTCATGTTTATAAGACGTAATGTGTTTACGGTCACGGTATCAAAACTATGAAGTTTCTCCCTTTTCACATATATAATTTAGTTTACTAAAACAATTTGAATGAAAATTAGTTGGCTTTTATGTACAAAAGAGTATTTCTATTCACTTTAATAGACTCTTCTTAAACTTCAATATTCAAGGAAATACGTATATGGTAACAGCATTCATTATTATTATGTTAAAATATATTTAGTTTTTAGTTACCAGTTAATAGTTATAATAGATAATATTTGTTACACAATTTTCACTCACAAAAAATAATATTTAAATTCTGAACTGTTGAATCTTGAGACGTCAACTGTCAAATGTGTTGTCGGATCGGTGACGTATTCTAAGGGAAAGTAATCGTCAGAATTCAGAAAAAATGTAAAAACCACACAGATTTAGTATTATACTTTAATATTATTGCTGTGACTGATAAAGCTATTGGGAAATTTAAGAATTATACAAGTATGTGTCTGTGGAATAGCTATATGAAAAGTTTTCACAGAATTTCGTCGAGTTTTACAAATTAATTATCATTATAAGTACGCATAGTAGACCCTATACAATAATTTAAAGAAAACGCTCCGAAGATTGGAATGTTTAATTCATTATTACTTTGTAATTCATTATTAATAAATAAATTTGTTGTGATTTAACACGAAGGTATTACATTTGGGTCATGACTCGACCAAATTCAGGTTAAGCCTACATTTAAGCCCTCTTTTTCTGCGTTTTTAGTTCCTGGCGTTTATTTATAGATTTCGGAAATGTCTTGTGCCGATATTACAAAACTAAAATCTTCTTATAAGAATCCAACTCTCGATTATTATAAGGTAAATACTTAAGTATGAAAGCAAATAAGTACATTTTTTATTACTTTTCGATACCTATTTTGATAATGTAATAATAGCAACGTTATCGTTTTCTCGTATATACCTTGTATACCTTGCATACTAAAGTATTTTAGAATAGTGACATCTAGTAGAAAGAAGAATAACATATATTTACTAGATGCTTGAGTGTCCAGATCGCAATTCAACATTTGTCCAATAGATGGCGCTTTTAACAAAGTAGAAGAAATGCACAATTATTTTTAATTATTAATAAATTACAATATACATACTAAGCGTATATTAGTATCACATACAAAAAAAATACAAGAAAAGGAAATAGGTCACAGAAAAGACGTGTCTCTAATTTTTACACTACTTAAAATCTGTCATCAATTTTGCCATGCAAAATTTTAATTAGTGTAATAACAGGTTAGAAAAAAAAACGAAAAATAAAAATAACAGATTGCAAACCAGGAACGAGGTTCATAATATCATAAAGCGTAAACTCAGTCAATAAAAAAAAAAGAAATCAATTTCCCTGCAAAATTAATAACTCCAATCAGGGAACAAAGCGCTATTTGGACAATGCATATTCGATCGTTCGCTTCTAAACGAGTGAAATAGTTTTTGAATTTCGAATGTTATAGACGCCATCGGTAAAGCGTCCATTCAGAATCCCGTCAGAGTACGCGCGCGGGTCGTACATGGTGCACGTGTTTGTCGCTGAACCTGTCGTTGTTTTGAACTTACATCGATGAGAAAGCGAGTTACCTATTATGTTTTTAATAACTTTGTTTTGTGAATGAATGATTGGTTTTGCTATTGATAGAATTTGAATAGGTAAGATTTGAATTATTTATTTTAGTATTTTGTAGTTTATAGGTACTTAAAATTTTACACTGTAGTTAGTCTCTGAATAATTGTTTTAACTTATATTGTATATTTAAAACTTTACAATTTAATACATATTCAATGTATCTTGCAAAGTATTTTTTGGTTTTCATGATTTGGTGCATATTACAGAAAATCAAACAAAACAAAGTCGTTATACATCGATGTTTTGAAATAAGTAACAAAATTTGTCCCTTAAAACATGGAATTCTTAATTATCATGTAATTACCATATAAAAATATACAATCTGCTAATATTTTCAAAGAATATAGAAATATTCCAAGTAAGGCTAATTTTACGTAAAGCTTGCGTTATTTTAAAATCCCATGGGAGGTTCGTACTTACAAGCATTTCGCATCATCCTTATTTTTTTTTTATATTAAACATGCAAAGATTTTATCCAGATTAAAGTACTTTGTGATTAATCTCTTAGCAATATTATATAAAATTTTATTTATTTATAATCAAATATTATTTCTATTCCCAGCGTGAGTCCGACATATTTAATGTACTAGTACATTTATAAACTTTTGTTTCTTACTATCATTGAAACGTAATAGTTTCATAATTTTGTTACTCTTAATCTGAAAAATACATATAAATATATTTATCAATAATAAAGTTCTACAATAAAGTGTATTTCACTCTGTCGGGTAATATCTGAATGAAAGAAAAGTTAATGCTGTGTAGTGGATAAAATTTAAATGACAAAAGCGTAAAAACAATGAATGAAGTATTATTAACTCAATAATATTATATTAAATATAAAATAATTTATTTGAAATTTCATTATTTACGTGTAAAGAGAAATAAAATATACAAATAATGATTTGGGATTCCACGAAGACTTGTCATGTCCATCGTCGAAGATCACTTAAAATATAAAGTGGGGTGTCTCCTGTTTGTCCAAGGCATATACAATAAGATATCTATATATGTATGTATAATTATAAATAAGATTTTCGCGTGTATATATTTAAAATGAAACTACATATATATTTATATTTGATTATTATATTTTACATTTCCTGATGTTAGAATTAAAGCTATCGTGTTTACGGCCAGATAAGATGAAAGTGATAAAGAAAAGAAAATAAACAAATAAATAAAATCGCATAGTTGTATCTAAAAAAGTTTTATTTTATATTGTAATTATTAATAATATTTCTAATGAGTTTTATATAAAAAGAAAATTAGAAGGATATGTTACTTACGCATTATAGGTACACTGACTTTTTGAAATAAGAAGTTCAGACTTCACATCAAAACATTTATACTGTTGGTATTGAGTTAGAGAAAGGACCTCGTATTAAGAATACAATAAGGATTTGGACATACTTTAGATATAATTGGTACATTTGAATTTCAGAATAAATTATGTTCTTTCTTTTATTTTGTTGTTTAAAACATAAAGCTTCAATAAATTCCTTTACATATTTTTGTTGTCAAATACCGATATAATAAATCATACATACGTTATCAAATACTTTAGCATTTATAAAATTAATAGGAATGGAACAAAGGCGATCTCTTTC